TTCTCAAGAAGAAGTATAATCCCAAGGGCGCATAGCTGCCTGGGTGTAAATACACCGAGACATGGTTGCTCATGCCTGCTTCTTTCAACTTGTTTACCATGAGCCGTCCCGTTGTGGGAAGGCCTGTCGCAAAAATCGATGAAGACTTTGCTGAACAAGAGGACCTCCGCCAGGCATCCACGGAGCGTTCTGCAGCGACATCGCTTTTTACATCGAAATCAAAAGCAACTGCGGGATTGCGGGCGCACGCATCTGCCACGGTCTCATCAAGGCTCGGCACCTTCGACGTGGCGTCGTAGTTGTATCCATCCACTTCGGCAAGTACTGTAAGACTTTGTACTTCTGCCCAAGGCGTTGATTCAACAACTTTGTCCTCTCCTGTCATGCGTATGAAGTTGCTGTCGTGGTGAAGGATGGCCGTGTTGTCAGAAGTACTCATGACATCAATCTCAGGATTTGCGCCTAAGGCGGCAGCTCCTGAAACCACACTTTCTAATGTGTTTTCTTGCCCATGCGTCAAGTTGCCCCGGTGAAGGAAGATCACTGGGCCAAATTGGCCATAGCACATCTGCTGCGGAGGAGCACGAGAACCGTACAGCACAGCAAGTGTTGCAATGCCACCTCCTAGCCACACAAGCCCGCAACAACTGCTGCAAAGCAGGCCCACCACATTGCGAGAGCAGCACTTGGTCATCGTAGGCACCGTTCCAAGCTGACTTTGCGGCACGGCAGCTGCTATTGCCACTACTCTCACTCTCACGGCTCACGGCACTAAGGTCACGTGTTTGGATTTAACTGGGTTTTCATTGAGACATCGAAAGGTCAATGATACCAGGGACTTCGAAGTTCTAAGCTTGCCTCACCTCAGCACGATCCTGTTCGACGCTGAGGCTTGATTTCAAAGTACCAGCGCAATGCAACAAGCACGTTCATTTTGCTCTTCAGGTTTCGACCTTGTCCGAACTACGCACAAGGCTATGAGCGTGAAGCTTAGGTCCAGAGCTTGCCGATACTGATATGAACAAACTGCTGAGTCTTTGTATGCCTTAGAGCTAGCCCCGTGATGTCCCAGCCCCGTCGCACACGCCAGAGCAGGATGAACATCGCAAAGTGCATGCGAACAGCCAGCGGGCGACGAATGTGGGAGAAGGGCATGGCAAAAAAGGGGTGAGAGTCTAGCTTCAGTTCATAAATGGTGTCATGTCGTCAAGGGTTGGACTGATGGGCCCCTTGACATGTCTCATGCATCAGACCAAACTGACAGAAAGGGATACTACTTGTATCACATTATACTATTCTATTGCCAAACATTGGGTCACCTGCTGTGCATCCTTCTGATTTCGCTCTGCTTAGCCTCTACTTCCCGGTATGTACCATATGATCTATAGTTTAAACTCCTAGTATGCCCCTCAGTAACAACTTATAATACTCCCCCATATAACCCCCTTGAAGGAGTTTAGACTATAGCCTATAGCTCATATGATCTGGAACAACAGGCCTGCCTTGTCTCTTCCTGAAAATTTGGTAGTTTCCCATAATTAGATCTACCTTGTTCGGGGCTCCCTATACACAGAACCATAATATTTGGGGAGGCTGATTTGGAGTCCCCTATTCATGCAAACTGCCATTTTATGTTCTCCCTGTGAACCCTGCCTCCTTGCGGCACTGCTTCAGCTTCTGCGTCAGCTGGGTGACTGTGTTGTCTTTTGCTCTCAGCGCCTGGAATAGCAACAGATCAAGAAGGCGGAGTTTCGATAAAAAAGCGGGACCTTTATGTATATATATATATATTCTTTGACTTGTGTGTATTATCAATCCAATATACTACATTCCTTATGATGGGGGCCCCATAACAGGATCCTAGTTTTTGGGCATCGCCAGATCGCAGTCTCAGGCTATGCGATTGCTTGCTCAGTCGAAAATTTCGTGGCAATTTGCACAAGGGAGGTCATTCCCGGAATGAAAGCTTTCGGTTACCATTCCAAATCTTTTTTGTATCCGGGCTCTTCACAATTTGGAAGTACCCCAATATGGTAGCTTCCAAAATAGGGGGACCCCAATATAAACCCCCAAATACCACAAGCCTATTAATGGGGCCTGCAAAATGGCACCCCTAATTTTAGGAAATCCCCATATAATCCCTTTAAATCCGTAACCTTGAACTGACTCTCGGCCTTCGAAGCCTCGAGGACTTTGACGCGGACGGAGGCTAACATCCCACCCTCCTGCAACTTACTGGTGCTTCAGGTGCTTGGGAAAGAAACCAAGTTTTCTCATGGCATGTTGTTAGTAGAGGATGGAGGAAGGGATCCCAATAGCCCCCACCACAAAATCCTCACTATCGTGGTAATGTCCATGTTGCTTTCATCCCCTAGAAACAACCACTAACAAGCAAGTTAGGTGTCACCCAGAAAACCAAAGGTCCTCGGTCAGTACCAGGCGGCGCCTCACCGGCTCGGGCTTCTTTGGCTCCACAGGCTCGGGGCCCAGCTTGTCGGCCAGCTCCTCGGGGCTCTCCTGAGCGCTATCTCAGGTCATAGAGTCTGAGGTCCATGGCCTAAGGCAGTCTAGGGGCATAAGGGTGGGGGGCATCGCACAGCAGGCGCTAGAAGTAGCAGGGTTGAAGCGTGATCAGGTGGATACTTGGAGCTGCAGAGCAGCCGCAAAACGCTTCTTGTGCAGGAGCCGTTTACTTGCTTTCGAGACAATCCTTGATGCCATGAGGTTCAAGACAATAGTGCAGGCAATTTGTTGAAAGTTCCGCATTTAATCCAAGCTTCCGTGCTGACAGCAGGAGGCTGGGCTGCTGCCACAGGTTCTCCTGACTCTTACAAGTATTGAGATTTGGAGGGGTCCTAATGAAAAAGGATGGGGATATCTAGGGTTGTCTTCCGAGATGTTAAAGGGGGCCCTGATCTGCATAGATACCACGCAGCAAAATCCTTATAACTTGGTGATGGGCATGCGTGTGGACTACTGGCCTCGCTGTGCCAGAATCCTCTCCAATAGCGAATGGAGCTTGGCATCCATCTCGCTAATGTCTTGATCACCTGCAAGCAGTCAAGACTCAGATTGCCATGCTATATGACTACTATTGCCATCACGTTTCTTCATACACGTTGCACGTTCATACTTAGTGTCATTTAGTTTCTGAGTCTTCTCGCGTTCTCGCATTAGCCTTACTTATCCCGTTCCTTTCTGAAATGCCTTTTGCGGCACTTGATGTACAGCCAGACATGCAGCTTCGGCCCTGCCTGACTTGGGCGCCAGACCGCTGACGCTGAAAAGCTGGCGCAATGCTTGGCTCGCCTGCTCTCTGGAGCCTGTGAGCGCAGCTCAGTGCATCTGGTCTCATAACTCCCTGGTGCTTGGCAGTAGATGGAGGAATAGTTTCTTAACAACAGGAGGATGAATTTTGGGGGTTACCTGGGCCGTATTCTACCTCGTCTGCCCCAATACAGACCAGCAGCCCATGGCGTCGGAGCTAGACTTTGCGCTCGATGACTTGCTCATTGCCACAAGTTTTTGGAGGGCCTGGGCAGGCCAAGCTTCCATGCAACATTGACACATAGCAAAAGCTTGTGGAGGCACCTTTACAGCTCGATCCATTCCGCAAAGCCGAAGCAATTACCAAATGCAGTTTCTGCATGTAATGGTTGTTGTGGGCTTCTGCCCCGGGCTTCTGCATGCGGCACCTTACAGACCTGTTGAATCACTTCTGACTAAACTGCAGCCAGCTGGCCGCACGCGCCATCTTCGACTTGTCTTCCCGCGCCGCCGCCATGGCCGCAAAGGCAGAGCAATGTCTGATGACCAAGGGCCCCAGGTTTATTCTGGACTGCTTGGTAGTCTCCGGTTGAAGCTGTGGGGTTCTGGCTGGCTGGCATCTAGCTGCATCACTACTTGCTCCGTGTGCTTCTGCCCAGTGGGCATTCACCAAGCCTTAGCTAGCTGCCAGCCTGGCCGCTCGAATCCAAAGATCATCGCGGCAGGCCATCCCAGCACCGTGCTGGCACATGTGTTGGACTGTGGTTCGCTTTTCGCGTGGTGGCATGGACTGTGTTGCACATTCCCTGCTATCAGCTCGCCTCGATACAAACTGCGCGCCCTGGGCGCCTCTGAGTTTCGATGAAGCCTGGGCGTTTTTACAACAGATCATAACAGATCCAATAGTCAAGGCTTGCAGACGAACATCGGCGAACAATTTTGTAGTCCGCGCCACATGCTTCCATGCTTTTCATAAGCAGGCTCAGCTTTCAACACCTGGTGACCCGCATCACGCTGCGGGCGGGGACCTCAGGACCTCATTGTAAGCATACTTTTTTCAAGGAGATCCATGATGCCTTCGGCATCATCAGGGGGTCACCAGGACAGCCATCCACGCTGAATTGCTCAACCAGAAGTATTGGTCATCGTCTGGAAAACACGAAAATTTTGTCCTCACCATAGTTTGTTGCTGGCATCGCCCTTGCAGAGGACGAACAATTGCGATTGCGACCTACCTAACATCTCTGAGCTTGTATTTGCATAAGTGCCAAGTCTCTGTAAAAAAGTCTATCTGTAAAGGAGTCCTACGTCGATTTGCTCTAAGATGTTCTTAGAGACACGTCGTCTGCAAGCGACTCTTCCAGATAGGCTTCACCGTGCCAGCTACATCTGCTGCATGAAAACCGCTGTTTGGGGAAGATGTGAATATGACTTGCAGCATTGCTAGGTTGATAAGCATTCTGGGACACAAGTGCTGCCTTCATGTAGCATAGCCCTTCCCTGAGGCGATGCTCAGCTCTGAAAGGGCGTGGTCACAAGTGTCACAAGCTGACAGTTTTGCGCACTGTGCACCATGCGTCTTTTGAAAGAGTACTGGCAACAGAGCTTGACACCTTAAGCTCTGGCACTGATGGTTGGCTATGGCAACTGCATACAAGACGTCTTGTTGCCGCGCGTGGCAGAAAACCAGGTTGCACCCTAGCTGAAATCCGGAAAGCATGCTTTCAAGACAGTCAGCTTAAAGTGCCTACCACATTAACCGTAGATGTTGCAGCGAAGAAGATGAAGAGAGCACCGCCAATGTACGTCAGCGTCCTCTCCTTGGGCAGCATATAAACATCTGGCAGTCGAAGACTACAACACATGGAGACATGGCCTTCATGCATTACGGGACCCAGCTGTTGCCAAAGCTCTGAGACGTAGGTGCTGATCAGATCGCCAAGGGCAACGGCAAGCAAGGTAGCAATGCCGTGTGCCGCAATGGCACCCACGAACACGGCAGCGGCCCCTTCAGGACCGCCCTGAGCACTCAAGGCTGCGGCAGAGATGAAGGACCGGTCGCCAACCTCCGCGGCAAAAACCAGGAGGAAGGCCTGAACCAGGAACCAGGAAACAGCAACGGCTCTTGAGAATCTTGAGATGCCAAAGATTTTTTCGAGGAGTTCTTCGTACATGTTCTGCAAATGTTGCGCAAGGCACCTGGCGCATACGGGCCGAGGGGCTAGGAAGGAACATGAAACATGTGGGAAACATCTGCAAAGGCATAGTTTCCCAAATGGGAGGACCCCAATACAGACCGCAACATACTAAAATCCATATTATGGGGGCCCGCCAAAAAATTATCCCTAATTTTAGGAAACCAATTGCAGCCTTTGAGAACATGTAACCTCTTAAGCCTGGTCATCAAGTCTTTACCAAGGGCTGGCAAGAACCGGACAAGCAGAATCGAAAGCCTGTGGAGCACTACCGGCTGACAGGTTTCTCGAACTACAAAGAGGTACCCAATGGTACGGAGCGGCTACGCAAAAAAAGCCGGCAACCAAAAGAAGCGCAACTTCGCTACAGTAAGCTTCGGTCCATGGGGGTTTCCCCAGAATCAAGGGTGCCCTTTTGGGGGTCCCCACAACATTGATTCTGGTATTCTGGTATTTATGGGTCTGTATTGGGGTCCCCCCCACATTTGGGTAAACTACCAAATGAACTCAACAATGTAAAGCAGCATCATTCATTCTTCACACTGTCCGGTCTAGCATCAACGTTCTCATAGAGTTAGAGTAATGGTGTTTGATCCGTGAGTGCAGATGACAGCTCTTGCCTGGACAACTAGCGCTGGAATCGCCAGCTTGGTCACCCACTCCGGCAGGGATTCGTTGACCGCCTCTTCTGCCTCTTCCTTCTCCTCCGCAAGGATACTGCCATCATCTGACATAGTCGAAGCATCCAGAAGGAGCTTGACACCAAAGTAGCCAAACCTCAAGAACAAGCTTCGTGAGAAGGTTGTGTTTGGATCGCAGGACAGCCTACACAACTGCGAAACACCACGGCTTGCAGGCAGACTGCGCCAGAATTGAGGCGTAGTCATCTATGGGAAGGCCGCCTGCTGCATCTGGCACGGCATGGAAGATCTGCCCAATGCTGACAGCAATGACGGTCATCACAGCCAATGCGCTTATGGCTCCGATGAAAGTCAGAACCTCAGGGCATCTTTCTGACTGCAAACAGGTATGGCCAAGAGCCTCTGGAAGGAAGCAGAAGGTCAATTTTCTGGCAAGATGCCTGCTATGACTCTTTAAAGCCTGGCCAACCCCGCGCCTTCTGGCTCAGACCCTCAGCGGCACTGCTGCCCGCAGCCAAGATAGCGGCAATGAAGAAGGTCTTGTCGCCGATCTCGGACACAAAGGTCAGCGCAAAGGCCTTTGGAGCGGAAAAACGTTTGATTTGTTGGTTCCTGTCGAAAGGCTCTGTGCAACCCTTCGAATCGATTGCTGGTGGCCTGCACAATGGCATCCTGAGGGTCGATGGTTGCCTCCACTGCCGCTGCCTCTGCGTGCGCGGCAGCTGGCGCCAGTGCCACAGAAAGCGCCTCTGCTTTTTTACAGGAATCGTATAGTCAAGCACCAGAAGCACATGAAAACTAAACTCTGGTCAGAGTTGCTCCCAACGGAGCTGCCAGCTCGAGAGGTCTACTGCTTGAAGTTCCCACCGCAGGCGCCGGTGCTGGAACGAAGGCACCGCCTGCAATGGCTTTTGGCGAGCCCATGTACCAAGGCTGAAACGCGCGCCATCTTGCGCTTGCAGCATGCACTTCCCTACAAAGTTTGCATGCTGGTACCAAGTCGCCGGAGTCAGAATCTCCCCGAATGAAAGACCCCACACAGCGGCATCCCCTTCCAGTAGCCCTGCCTCTGCCAAGAATGCACCAGCAGGCTGCAATCCACAGCAGCAAAACTTGCCTGCGGTGCTGGCGTAAGCTCCTGCCACTGACGTGGTAAAGAAGACTTGGACACCTGCAGTAAGCTAGTCTATAAAAGGCGTAAGAATCACAAGGTAGTCATGCAAGCTACCGCAGGAACCGTAGGCAGTTTATGCAGGAGCCCTTGAATTTCCCTTCTCCACTTCCTGGAACACTTTTGGAACATCTTCCCGGCCATGGCTCATCAACCTACGCGTCGGCACGGGGCACAAGTGAACTCCGCCAGCCGAAAAGGAGGCAGCAGACATGAAAGGCATGAGACTTTAGCCCTTGAGGTCTGAGCAAAGAGCAGCAAACAATTCTTGTGTAGAAAGACGTATACTGCCCCATCGCATTCCCTACGCTCCCTCAAAATCCATGGAGGGAATGGATCTACAATGTACAATTTACAAAGCCCTTTCTGAGCCTCTAAGCCCTCAAATCCATATCTGGTTTCTTCCACACAGAACGTCAGGTCGAAAAAAGTGGGGAGGTTCCGCCAAAATGGGTGCACCTTTTGTGGACCTGGACTTATGGGGTCCCCTACTATGTCAGAAAGATTTCTGAAAGTCGTACGTACAGGGGCGACAAACTGGATCCGCTGCCCAAATCCTAAGGGTTTACTTTACGTTGGGTTTCACCCTAAACCCTAAACTCTGAATATGTTCCATTATCAACTGAGCAAGCAAGAGAGGTAACAGTTTCCATAAACAGGGGGGCCTGATGTAGACCCCCCAAAACGGTAATCCTTATGAAAGGAGCTATAACCGCAAATAGTAGTTTCCATTGTCTTTCCATTATCTCTATAGATTGGGGTAATATCCCTGTACATCCCTAAAGCCCCACATAACCGCACATACGCCTATATAAGCCCTATATGACCCCCATGTACAGGCGTGTATGTAGGTATGTAATACCTAATTTTGGCAAAAAAAAAAACAGGTCCTGAGTTTTGTGGTTGAACCCAGAAAAAGAATCATATTCCTTCTATGAAATAATATACCCCAAAAGGAACACACAATCAAACCTATTTTGGGCACCATAGTATTTTTCACGGACGTCAGTCGGTCATGAGATTCAGGCGCCGAGCACTTTGGCTCCTCCAACAGATAATCTGGAATGATTTAGAAGCGGCTAATAATGGTGCTGAGATATCTGAATATCTCCTGACAAGAGTGGAGCATTTTGGGTACCGTAATATCCGCAAGCAAAATAAACCCTAAATCCTAAACCCTAAGCCCTAAATTCCAAACCGTTACCCAAAAGGAGGACATACTCATCTCCCCCCAAAAAAATCCACGCAGGTGGGGGGCCGGCTGCCACCAGCTCGCTCGCAAGCTTCGCCAGCGCCCTCCAGCCTTCTGCCATCGGAGCGGGTGGAGGTTCAAAACTAGGGGAATATTATTCTTGCTATGAATATTACTAGCACTATTATTACTATTGCTATCATTGTCATTACAATTGAGGGTCCTCCCTACAGGAAGTGCAAGGCCTTGAAAGTTAGAGGGTATATGTAAGGGTATATGCGGATTTTTGGGGGTTTAAGGTTTCCAGGAATTTGGGCCATTTCTTGACTCAAAACAGGAAAGAACGTAGTTGCGTGATGAGTCAGAAGAGATCAACAGAAAGGCGATCGATCCTCCACAGTAGGTTTTTGAGTATGTTCTAGCCATTCTGGCCTACACTACCGAACTGTCAATCCTGACTGAATGGTTTCACCTCTTGATTCCACGGAGGTCTGCTGAGCACCTTGCTTTGCTCGATGCGCCTGTTCTGGAGGGAAAACGAAGACCGTGCGACCATGGATGATCCAGCCCTGCCACATTTCTGCATGGGTACTTCTCAAAGTGAGCGGCGTGGAGCACTGCAAAAGCTGTGTGGGGAGGATGCTAACTGCTCGCTAGTTCATCTGTGTAGCTTCCATGTGCTGAGGTTCCACCCTGAATCGAACCAGCAAGCCTCCTACACATTTGACGTGACTTTGTTCTTATCGCCAGAGACATTGTAAAGGTGATGAATGATTCCCGAATACAAAGCCTGAAGGGTCACGGAACAGCAAAGGCAACGAGTGGAATCCTCGGGGTAGGGCTGCTTTCAGTGAAGGCATTTTCCAGGTAGGAAAACACTCACCACATACCCGTCCGAAATCCTGTAGTTCCTTCTCGCCGCCATATTTGACATCCTGTACTAATGCAGATAAAAGGAACAACTGTTGGGTGATCGCGTCTTACAGGTCGGCCTTGTCAAGAAGCAAGTCGCAAGGAACTGGGGCGACCTGCCTTAGCCCGAATAACAGAGAACTGGGTTCATGATTTGGGATCATCTTGTACGACGGAGATTAAGGATTTCTGGGTTCAGTGTCAAGTTAAACTCACGCGAGATTACATGGGATGAGCAAAACAGGATGTGTCACCGCCTACGTGACACTCTGTGGAAGCATGCAGCGCTGCACAACCTGCTTGCAACCAAGACATACCTCCCGACTCTGCAAGATACCTTCCGCATCTGCAAGGAAGTCCAGATAGTCAGGTCCTGGTGCCCAAATTAAGTGAATCGTACATCCTACACCCTTAGCCCACAACCCTCTACTGAAGCCGTCCAACCTGAACGCTAAGCCAGGCCAAGCCCTAAACCCTGAATTCCTAGCCTTGTCTGAGCTATAGCCCATAACTCATATTATCCCCTTTGATATATATAGCCCATAACTCCTAGTATCCCCTTTAAGAAGCCCTAAATAGCCCATATAACCCCCTTTAAGGTGTTTAGACCACAGTTCATCTGGGGCATCTGGCAGCTCAACTTCGCAGAGCGCGAATTCATGCGCAGGACCTGCGCTGCTGCGGATCATGACCTGAGTAAGATTGGTAGATTAGTATTATGGTTAGTCTAATGTTTTATAAAACTAATGTTCTAAACATTAGCAGATTAGTAGATTGGTAAGTCTGGTTATTGCTACTATACTATCGTTCTTATTACTATTATTGTGATTATTTTTGGTATTGTTATGTCATGTCCTTTGAAGGGCTCATAGAGATGTATAACCGATACAGAGATTAGAATATGGGGATATACTAGGGTTTAGGGTTCAGGGCTTAGAGTCAGATGGAAAATGAGATGGAAACTGGGGTTCATAGGGATGTCTAGGCATTCAGTGAGAAGCGTGTTTGTATAGGAGTATATAAGGATATGTACGGACATGCCGGATATGTAATAGGTATTGCAAAAAATAAAACTACTGCGTCATTTAGGGATAGAGTTAGTTGTTTTTGTGGTTGAACCAGGTAAGTCGACCTTCTTCGAACATACTATAACGAAAAAGAGGACATGCTGTCACTCTGTATTGGGGACGATACCCTCCGCATTAAAAGAATTGCTCACCTGGGACAGCAGGACAAGACCTTCACTTTTCCACGAAGGTCCCAGCTCTAGAGCCGTTCACTCAACCTCATTAAAGGTTGTTCCCTCATGTTGCCGCTGAACCCACAAGCACCCTTAGGGTTTAGGGCTGTAGCTGACAGAGTTGTTGGCTCAAAAGCCATACTTGGGGGTTAGGGGGACTTCGCAAGTATACTGATGACACCTATGACACCCATCAGCCATGAAAGAAGGCCAGTTATCCCCATGATGGGCTGTCTTACTAAGTCCCTCTGTCCCCCCCACTTTGCCGGGATAGTAGCTACACCTAATTTAGCACCAATAGATAATCTAGCGGGGGATATTTATCATTGGAGGGTGGGGTGGTCTAAGGTTGAAACCATGGGCCCCTAGTATGGGCCCTTAACCCTGGGGTCCTCATATACCTACTATATACCGACCCTATATGTACTCTTAAGGGTCCCTAGAATACCCTTAAAAAGGCCTAAGGGCCCATATTAGGGTCCCATACTTCTACCCTGAGAGGTGGGGTGCGGTGGTCATTAGCGGCCAACTGATGAAGCCGGCTTCCTGGATGTGCTGCTGGCGCCTTGGTTGGCCAGGGCTGTCTCCAAAACAAGGGCTGCTATTATTATTACTATTATTCTCGCTATTACTATTATTACTACTATTATTGTCACTATTACTATTATTGCTACTATTATTATCACTATTACTACGGCTACCCATGAGTATTACTATTCCTGGGATTGTGCAAGAACTAGTTACTAGTATTCGGATCCATCTCTGCTTCCCTCGCAGTGCGCCTGATAGCAGAAATCCAAACATGATGCGATGTAATCAACAACTGCATGCTAAACATCTCGGATACCAAAGCAAGCCCGAATCAATCCCTTGAATCCGCATCTTGTCCGAGGCTCAGTGGACGACGATCGCGTTCCCGCCTTCAACCCAAAAATGTCGTTATGATGCAGGCACTGCGAGGCAGAAGTCGCTCAACAATTGGGGGCTCGGTTCTTGGAGGTCCTTATAGGTCCGTAATGACAAGGACGTATATTGGAGGGTATATGGCATATGACGCTAAGAACCTAGTATTCAGAAATCCTGAACTGTGTCGTGTGAGTGTCCCACCCAAGTTCTCGTCTGCAGAGCCGCAGAGGACTTGCTCGTCTTCGATCTAAGCTCAAGAGTCAACGCAACGAGTCAATGCAATTGCCTGAATGCGAATTGCTAGAGAAAGCTCAGCCCAGGTCGACTAGGACGACCTCGTAAATGAGCGGCTCCCGAAACGGAAGGGTTTCTAGCTGGCCTCCAACGACTACAGCGCTTACTGCAGAAGGACGGTGAACAATGCTTGCGCGGAGGCGCGGTCTTGCGGTAGACCCTTGTCCAACACGTTGCTTAAATCAACCAAGCTTTCAGCAGCAACAGTGTCGTTCATAATCAGCTTCCCGTGCCTGTCCACAGCATAACACGAGTCACCTGCCGCCACTTAACATTATTGTTGCGATTGCTACATGCATCTCTGAACTCCCACTCGGAAGTTCCGAATACCTGAAGCTCCGCGGTTGCAAGGATCTGTAGAACCACTTACGGCCCAGCCAGCTTTGTCATGCGTGATGGACTTGTAGCGCATTTCAAAAACTTCTACACTCACTGCAGAGACGGAAAGGTTCAAAGTACCCCGATCTTCCAAGCAGCGCTGCCACAGCATAAGGCTTCTGCAATGTACTCTGCGTCCAATTCCAATCTCCAGGGCTGCCTGTATATCGGATTTGATGTATGCATATCTGCATGCATTGATTGGTTGGTTCATGCCGACGTATGCATGCATGTACGCTACACACGGTAGATATGAAGCATCCTGTAGTAGCACCTTGAAGACTGATACTGCTGGTCCAGTCTCCATCCCCTGCACCTACGTGAACATTGTTCACGCCGATAGTCGCCATCCTTACCACGAACGCACCAATGCTGCAGCTGCTTCAGGTTCAATTAGGAAATTTGCTTTTGGAGCATGCCTTTAGTTGAATTTGGGGACGGGCCCTTTCGTGATGATATTCTTAGTGCTAGACTTACACTCCGGTATCCGTACCAGACCCCATCCTATGAAAAAACCGCACACCATTCCATACTACCCATAACTAATCGTCATATCATACCTCCAAGATCCTAGCTATTCCACATCGTGCCTAGATAACCGCCCCAGCTATTCCAGGTACAATCCGGGCGCCCAGGCAACTGCCAAGAGATCCGCCTCGACCGGATGTGTGCTGATCCACCGTTGCCACGGCCTGGCGCACACATAAAGAAGCTGATCTTGTTTCTGGAGTTGCAGGCAGTAAAAGTAGGCGATTGCGGAAAACCTGGATCTGAAGCCCATCACGGGTCGAGTCTCCAATGGTCCAAAAAAACCACAAGGTCAGGGGCTACCGGTAAGCCGGGGAATGGAGAAGCGGATCCCTAGTCAAGCCAAATATGAAAAAACTGGGTCATATGGAAAACTATATGAGCTATAGTCTGAACTCCTAGCATCACCCCTCGAGAAGCCCTATCAGGGTTCCCGACACAATCCCCTGTATCACCCGCCTGGCAGGAGTTTCGACCACAGTTCATATGATGAATCTTCGGAGGATGGACTGCGAAGGTTGGGCACATCCACACAAGGTTTAGGGTTTAGGGCTCCAACATAAACACTCCTGGAACCCACCCAGAAATGATTTATTTGCAAAGCTCGTAAACCCAATAAATCCCCACACCCCCTAAGAATCATTTCCCCCAACATATTCCCATCATTAAGATAGATATTAAGAGGAGTACCTAAAACTAAGAGGAGGGGATTGCTTTGCCTGGCCTCGCTGGCTTGCAACCTCGCTGGCCTGCAGCTACCTCAGAGACCCCAAGGATACATGGGAGGTTCTCAAGGTAGGGGGCCCCTAATTAGGGACCCTGGGCATACATAGGAATCATTAGAGGATTATAGGGGATCCTTGTGGGGGATACTATAGGGGTTACTGAAGAACTGCCCGCATGGCAAGAGTGAAGAGTATCTAAGGGATGAGTCACTACTCCCTCCCACTAGTACTCAGACGTTTTGCGGGGGTATACAGGGGAAGGGATAGAAAAATGAAAGCGAATACATTTTTTTCGATTACTGTAGCGGGTCTTTGGCCCAGTCTCTGTGTAGATCAGCATTTGGGCTGAGGTCGGCTGAGGTTGTAGCAACTTCACCCGGTTTATCAGGGATTCCTGTGGTTTTCATTTCGTGCGTGGTGCGATTCAAAGTGCTACTACTCCTCAAGGACACCCTGCAAAAACAAGATTCCCAGTGCGGAAAACTTACCATGATAAGAACAATCAGAAAAGTACCAAATTGCTTGCCGCATTCTGGTGAATATTTACTATATCCTGGGGTGCTGGGGGTTGCTCAACATCAAGGCGAAGCGGAACTAGCACTATGAGTCGACAGTTGCTGGTGTAAGCCCACAACGTTGCCCATGGGGAGCCACTGATCACCAGCCGTGTGGCCAGTCTTGTGGATCTTCCTTGGTTGCCGTTGAGGGGTCCCCTTAAGGATGTACCCTTGTCAGGGTCCCTAGGGCCCTAGAGTTAAGCAACGTACTACATCCCTTCAATACTATGAGTTGCTTTTTACTTGGCACACCCCAAAATTCGGACTTAAGTCAAGCAACCACGTTATCTTAATGATGACATGGATTTCTGACAGAGTAATGAGCACAGTGAATCATTTCTTCTGCGATCCTTACATTTTAGCAGCTTGACGGCGACCCAGCTTCAGGAGACAGCGGTTCTGCCACCAGGAGAAGACTGCAGCAGGCAGCACCTGACCCGGTGCAGAAACGATGAAGATAGAAGCACAAGTGAATAGTCCGACTGGGCTAACTGAAGTAAGGTGCGCATAGCAAAACGACCCACAATTCCTGCCAGATTTCAGGAACCTGTGCAAAACAGGAGAACTGAGGGCGCAACACACCCCGGATGGGCATCTCCCAGGTATGTGTCTGGGAAGTAGCTGAAGGCTTGACATTCCTGCAGGCATCAGGTCATGGGCCTTGGCTTGTGAGGAAGGGGGATGGGGTTTAGAGTCAAGCATGGGCGGTTGTCAGACGTATGGCCCCACAAAAGTAGCACCTTTCTACCCATCTAGCATCAGGAGGGGAGTCGGAGGACAATTCAAAGTGTTGCGGTCCTGCGTCTCTTGACAGCGCATGCGGCCTTAGCACCCTTGTTAGGACCAAAGTGCAAAGAGCCAGCAATGACTGAGTTGTGAACAAGCCGCTGGACTGGGTACCTCTTTCAGGAAGGCAAAGTCCTCAGCAACTATGACTGTAGTATAATATACTGTATTATTCCATGCATGCTGCCCGAATGAGAGTCGACTCTGGAGTTGTCAGGCAAATGCTAACCAATTGGCACCACAAGCTCCTGGCCATTCCCACCCGGTCAACGTCAACTTGTAAGCAACCACCTGCACAGGCCACTGTGCGCAACATATCCCGCAGAGGCTCAGGGTGTATGCGTGACAAAAACTCTGAAGTGAAGGCAAGGCAGGATATAGTGCTGAATTTCTACAAGGACCCTCACAAGAACTTGGCCTTACTCTATGTTGGCATACCTGGCGCACCTGCGAATCATCATGGTTCTTCTACAAAGATTTTAGATTCAAATCTTACAGCGTCACAGTCACAGTTGAACCATTCTTACACATTTGAGCATAATATGCCTGCTGCTCTGAAAGGGGACCTGGGAAGTCTTATCTAGCAACCAAGAACTGCTGGCAATCGCATAAGTCTCACCTTGCTCCCCACAGTCGCGTAGTCCATAGACAAGACCGGCATGAGGTGACCATGGGGCCTAACGTAGAGATTCCTCCCAATGGGGGGCCCTAAGGGACTAGGTATGTGAGGGGTTATCGGAGATCCCCATTTAGGAAGGTATGTACAGGGCCTATTTTGGGAGAGGTTAGGTGGACTTAGGGATTCTGAACAACCCTGTATGAACTGTTTACGGGCTTGCAATTAACGAAACGAAGTATGTCGGGCCGCGCTGGGTAAGCTCATCAGCGGTCGCATGAGGTAATGTTGAGTGTGTTTCCGCTACCTCTTAAAGAGTTCTTGGCCAATTGTTGCACGACTCTCTTTAAGGTGCTTTTGCTTTTGGGCCTCTAACCGCATCCAAGCCATCCCCTTTAAAGTCCCCAGCGCCTTCCCAGGGCCCTCAGTATCATGGGAGCCTCATAATTGAGGACGCTTTTTTTTGGTTGTTGGGGGGGGAAGGCATACACTAAGCTGAGCGCAACATTACCGAGGGACTCTGAACGGTTCCTGGGATAACTCAAGATTTGTCTAACACTCTGCCAAGCCTTCGATTTCACACCTAATGATGTGCTGTGCTACGTTCTCTAACCACCGCACCCCTCCAAGGCTCCCTTAATTAGGCCTATTTAGGGTTGATTAAGCGCGGTAGTATGGGGGGCGGGGGTGGGCTTTTCACTGTCAAAAGCCTTGCAATGACCTTTGGATGATGAGCCACTTGCCGATTTAGTTCGGATAGAGTACCTCTAAATAC